TGTGTAAGTTTCAGGAATACAAATTCCACCATCAAAGTTCTAGTGCCATTCACACAACTAAATAGAGCTCCTCTCCACATCTTTTTTCAGAGAGTCTATGAGTTATTTTTGTTGTGTTTTGTTAGGTCATTTGCTGTAGTTATTTATATTCCACATATGATAGAAATCACCTGGTAGTTGTCTTTCATATTCTGTCTTATTTCTCTTGGCATAATCACATCAAATTCCATCCATGTTGTCATGAAAGACAAGATTTCATTATTTTTAATAGTTGAATAGTATTCCATTGAATATATGTGTCACAGTTTTATCCAGTAATCCATCAGGGGGCATTTATCTTGCTCCATGTCTTTATTATTATGAATAATGCAGCTTTGAGTAGTACGGGAGTATATACATTAATGTTTTTATATTTGGATAACTGGAGGAGTACTGCTGGGTTACATGATAGTTACATTTTTAGTTTTCAAAGAAATCTCCACCCTCTTATCCACACTGGTTGCACCAGTTGATAGTCCCACCAACAACATAGGAGAATTTCTTTCTCTCCATACCTTGCTACTTCTAGTTTTCTGTTGTTTAGAAATAAACCAATGGCTTTTGTCTAAAGAATTGAGATTACTAGAGGGGAAAAAGTGATGGGGGAGCCAGGGTAGAGGGTATTCAATTGATGATTGTAAGGGGCAGGACAGGCACAAGGCAGGTTTTCTGATCCCATGCAGATCGGGTAAAGGAGGAGTCAGAGTAAGACTCCTCAGTATATTGCAGGTTTTTTATGAAAGGGTTCACCAGGCATATGGCAGGCAGGGGTGCTGGCTGGGGGCTGGGAGGCTGGCAGGCCTCCCAGCCCCCAGCAAGTCTTCACTCTATCTGGGCTCTCTGGCGTTCTCTGCTTCTGCTTCGGCTTCTCCTTCAGGTTCTGCTGCTGCTGGCTGGGGCTGCTGGCGTCCCCCCGTGACGCCGCCCTTAAAAGCACAGTCTTAGCTCAGCTGAATCCCATCTACCTATGCCCACACCCTATTCCAGGTGCCCGCCATCAGGCATGCATTCAGGACAAGGATCCATCATCTATCCTGATGGCGGAAGGGCAGAAAAGCCTGACATTTTCTTTACCCTACAGTCCACCCCCTCAGGGTTTTCTGCCATACAGTCTATACATATATATACAATTTTCTAAGCAAACAAACAATGCAGCCATGGCCCACAAAAGCAAATATATCAAATATACAAAATACAATATAACAAAATACAACAGAACACAAATAAGTCCAGGCAGGGCACCAACCAAGTGCAAAAGACAATTATTGGTACCAGCAGATGAGCCACCAAATCTGCTGCCGAAGGCACTGCTCATACGAGGGAGGGGAATCACTCACGGCATCTACTATAACATACCAGGAGCCGTCAGGCTTCCTGGCCTTCTCTGGCTGTAGTCTAGGCTACAAGGCACACACAGCATCCACCCCCAGGATGCACTAGCTCTGGGATTGGCAATTTTATTCTGTTGGGGGTAATCACCAACCCTCAGGGTTTCTGTCTGCAGTCGCTCCAACACTCGGCCTTCATGGCCACCCATGTGACTCACAGACCCCTGCTCTCAAGCCAACCCACTGCACAAGCACATGGGTTGGGGATCCAAACTTTGCATTTGGCTTGGGCTCCACCCCAAGCCACATTCCCCACCCGTCCCCAAGGACGGGCTCCTCAGCTCCTCACCCTCACTCAAGAATGAGCAGGGCATCACCCATAGGTGATTTTACGAGACTCACAGGGCTTCAGCATACCCAGGCTGCTTAACAGCCGCTTTAGGGCTTCTCAACTTAGCATCAGTACCAGCTTTTGCCACCTTAGTTGGCTTTTCTCCTCCACCTGGCCACTGGGCATACACAGGCTGCTTTTGGCCATCTAGGCCCACTGGCCACCCCCAGATTCTCAAAATAAACATAACCTGCTAAGGTCCTCCGCCTTCTGGCGGGATTGTCAGTCCAAAATCATCAGTTCATCAGTCTATCAGTCCATTGGCCTCTCCCTGCTTCAGCAATGGCCTGCTGCCTCAGGGGTCATTGGCTGGTCCTTTCCGGTGTCGTCGGCTGGTCCTATCCGGTGTCGTTGGCTGGTCCTTTCCGGTGTCGTTGGCTGGTCCTTTCGGGCGTCTCCTTCAAGCCAGGTCTCATCCTGTAGCTCGTGGACGTATCCATCTTCTATACCGCCATGGTGCCTCCAGCGTCGTCACAGGCAAAGTCTGTTCTCCTTAGTCCCTCCAGGTCTTCGGAGGGCTCCAATACCCGTCTGCATGGATCTTGCCGACATACGCCAATTGTAAGGGGCAGGACAGGGCACAAGGCAGGTTTTCTGATCCCATGCAGATCGGGTAAAGGAGGAGTCAGAGTCCTCAGTAGTTTTGCAGGTTTTTTATTTGGGGTTCACCAGGCATATGGCAGGCAGGGGTGCTGGCTGGGGGGCTGGGAGGCTGGCAGGCCTCCCAGCCCCCAGCAAGTCTTCACTCTATCTGGGCTCTCTGGCGTTCTCTGCTTCTGCTTCGGCTTCTCCTTCAGGTTCTGCTGCTGCTGGCTGGGGCTGCTGGCGTTTCCCCGTGACGCCGCCCTTAAAAGCACAGTCTTAGCTCAGCTGAATCCCATCTACCTATGCCCACACCCTATTCCAGGTGCCCACCATCAGGCATGCATTCAGGACAATAATCCATCATCTATCTAAAGATGGCGGAAGGGCAGAAAAGCCTGACAGGGTTTTCTTTACCCTTGATGATATTTTTTAATATAAAAATAAATAAATTTTAAAAGTTTGTTCTTCAAGAATGAAATTAGGTTAAACTAGAATGTCATGAGTAAGACTGGCCAATATATCCTAAGCAGTGATTTATGAAAGGATAGTGACGTGTATCTTGGAGCCACCTTGAAACAAACAAACAAAAACAACAAAACCTACCTCCTGTAAAGAGTGAAGAAAATTTTCTTTTAGCTAAGGCCAATTAACAAACACAGACTACCTACAACTCCCTTTTTTTTTAAGATTTATTTATTTATGCATGCAAGAACTGGGGTGTAGGCCAGAGATACCTGGGGTGAGAGGATTCACTGGAGACAGAGTGAGAAGCAGAACAGGTGGAACTACTGAAATACACTGCTGAGGGGAGCAGCGGATGAGACAGGAGAGGTCTGCTGCACCATGTGGGTCACCTCCCTGGCTGGAGATCGAATTCATGCTGCAGTGGCTGGCAATAGCTTGATAGCATTGAGACTTTTACCCTTGTGCCACTAGGGAACCCCTACCCCCCACTCCAGGTCTTAAATGCTCTCAGGCCCTTTGTTTAATGAGTTCTGGCTGGTCTCCCCTATTGAAATTGACTTGAATTGTCTTGTCTGTTTAACATTGTGTGGTGCAATTTTTACTAGATAGTACTTAACATGTAATATCTGCAATAATGAATAGTCTAATACACGGGGATTCCAGTTCAATAGATTTACTTTTATATTTCTCTTTGCTCAAAGTTGAAGTGTGATTTTTGATGAATAAATTTAAAAATATGTCCTTGGCATTTCAGTGTATGCCAAAAATCAGATTGTTTTTAGTGCCACTTGTTCATCAGCTCTTTTACAAATATATGTTTTATGGGAACAATCTGCTTGATCTGTTCTTCCACTAGTAAAGTGAAAATTAAAAGAAAATACCAGTAATTTATTTTCTATTATTCATTAAAAGCATTTGTTGTTTATCTCAGTGAAGTGTACTGAAGCACAATAAAATATACCCCCTGCAGGTTTAATCATATGATATATAAATCAAACAAAATAAAATTGTAGTTGAGGGAGATTTAAATATGAGCTCCACAAAATTGCTGTCATTTCGTTGAGTTAACTTCATTTAGAAAGCCAAATTTAATATCACATGTTAAAAATCTATAAACCTACAAATTGGCTTTCAAACAATTAAGACACAAATTTCTCCAAAAGATGTGGTTTAACAAGGACTCTTTCCTAGACTAGTGAAAACAGTAATGCTAAAAACTATTGAGAGTCTAGAAGTTTCTAGTGCGCATGAAATGAGCACTAGTTTTCTCTGATAATGTATTGCATCAGTAGCATTTTCCAAAATGCATTTGCTAAATTATAACCACTATTTGAAAAGTTTTTTTTGTACTTATCACCTTCTAATGGATAATTTACCTTTTTATTAGAGAAATGTTTATTATTTATTTCATCCACAGTAACGTGAACCTAGGCAGGCAAAGTCTGTATCTGTTGGAGTCACTGATACACTACAAATGCCTAGAATGGTGCTGGACAGAGTAGACATTCAGCAGATTACTGTAACTGGCAAAGAATGGTAGTAATTATTGTCTCTCCAATGTAGAATACAGCATCAATTATTGAATTGCCCAAAAAGTCAGCATGATTTTACCTATGATATTTAATAGATAATGAAATTGAATTGAGAAAATCCTTCAATAAAATGTAGCATAAATTTTTAATGTTATATCAAACAGAAATTTAGAAGTGTTATTGGAAAATGAAATTGAGAACTAGTTATCTGGTGAATAACAAAGATAGAGTCATTCATGAGAGAAATAGAAATAGTGGAAGCAGAGGCTGCGGTGAGCCAAATAGCTCTTCTCTTCAAGACCTGAGTATTCATTGTCCCAGCTACAAGGAATGTGCACTGTTGATGGCTTACAGCTGAGTTCTCCAAGCATTGCCTTCAGCTGGAGAGCAATGATTTGCCCAAGGCTACCCCTCGTTCCTATGGCAACTGATACCCAATGACTGCTCAGTGTAGGGTGTAAAAACCCAGCCTCCTTGCTTGTTTTGGAATCATCCTTAAGGGATATCTTATCTTCAGAGCACCGTGGAGTTGTCAGAGACCTCTGTTGCAAAGGTATGAACTTTTCTTCTGCTATTTAGTCCTGTTTCCCTCTCTCCTATTGTGTGCCCTGTCCCAAGAATGTTCACCAATAAATCTCCGGCATATGCATCTCTTTGCAGAGGCTGCTTTGGGAAACCACACCTGAGACAGTTTGTACCAGAAGGAACCTGAGAAAGCACATACTAAATTGGAACTTTGGATTTGTAACCTCCTAACTGACTGACAAAGAGGACTGAAAGTAAGTCGAGAACTAACTTACCTTCATACTGTCTCAGTAAAATTTTAAAATTTTCACTACCTCTAAAGTAGGGTGGAATAATGTGGAAGGGAATGCACTGTCTGATGCAGCATCTAGCGCTGGGGAGTTCAGAGAAAATGGCATTTTAGGGACGCGGAAATTAGTTGGTTTTTGTTGAATACTACTGATGCATTGCAGAAAGAAAATAAAAGGCTGGGGATGATTAATCACCAATTTAGGTGAAACGTTAAAGCCAGATGACCTCCTAAGCAGCATAAAGTTATTTTCAACTCTGAAGGTCAAAAACAGCTATGCATGAGGCCTGTAATTTAATTATAAGAATAGTGGAGCTTCAGAAAATTTCAAATACTGAACTCCACCAGTGTTTATTGTAAGGTTAAGTCCCTAATTGGAAAGGCCTGAGACCCTGTAAAGGTAACAGCTGCATTGATATACTCAAAAAATCTTGAATTTCTAGATCCTTTAAACAAGTAAGGTCTTTGGAACTGTTCTGTTTCCTTAAGTCTGGTCTTCCATCCTAACAAGAAGTTGATGCAGGCGCTCTGCAACTATCCTACTTCCATCCTGGGTTACCATATCAATAATTTGGTTCAAGTCACATCACAACTCTGTTGATGCAGGGCTTGGCCGAAAAAAAGTGGGGGAAGGAGTATACACTTTAAAAACAACTTTAAGAGGTAATTAAGTTACTGGGAAGAGCCAGGAAGGTATATATGAATTCCTAGGACACTGGATTAAGAAAGGGACAAAAGAACAGGCTGTTTTTGTCTGTTTGTTTATCTTAGTATTTGGAACAGTTACACTAGCAGAGTAACCCCCAACTGAGCTGCATAAATGTTCACATCCCAATCTCTGCTACCAGTCACTTTTCTCTTGGCTTATGTGTAAAGGAGGACTAACATAGGAAATAGAACCAAGGTTGATAAGCCCACCTTAGAAATAGGAGGTTAGTTGTGGTTTATCCAGGGTGTTACAATATAATTATGAGGGCTGTTGGCATTGGGGGAGGGCAGTAAAACAAGTCAGTAAAGGAGATGTAACTATGGAGTCAGAGTGATTACAGCTGAGCAGCATGCGGCCTGCTGCTCTTTACTTTGAAGATGGAAAAGTGTGTAAGCCAAAGAATTGGGGTAGCCTCCAGTAACTGGAAAAAAACAGGAGTTTTATACAAGAGATGCCACAAGTCAGTCAGGTCAGGCAATAACTTGATTTCAGTGAGATCCGTTAAAGACATGTGCCCTCCATAGCTCTTAGATAACGAGTAACAAATGAGTATTGTTTAAGCCACTTAGATTGCAACAGTTTATTTTCCAGCTACAGAAGCTTAAAGCAGAGCTCTTTCATGCTATAGATTCAATATCTTGGCCAGGACCGCATGAGTCGGTGCTAACACAGTGCTAGAAGTATGAATAAAACAATCACCAAACTAACTAAAATATTTATGGCTGAACTCCTGTGGGTCACAGCATCTGTGAGCCTCAGGGAGTGAGTGTGCCTAACCCTTGAAGAAGGGAAATGGGCTGCATCCCAGTGTCTAGTAGAGTCAATCCGTGTTTCAGATTAACTTGCTTCATGTAGTATGTTTGCTTCATCTGGAAAAATTTCCAGCATGATGCTGGAGAGTGTTAACTACTTATAGTACTGTTAAATTCTACTTCAGAATTGCACTTAGAAAAATGCTGCTTTTCCCAGTGTTATCATCTTACTCAGGGGCAGTCCAAAAGCATGACTGGTTGATGAGGGGGTTACAGAGACCCCAACACTTTTGTTCAACTTGAGACGATTAGGAAGGATCCTCTCAGATCCAGAGCTCTCTGTGGAGGTCAGCTGAGCTGTCTTTTGGAGCAAAGCATTTCAACATCTCTGCCCGATACACTTTCTCTTGCACTCTTCCAAGTATTCTCCAGAGCACTCCTCAGTAAACTTGCTGCCTGCAGTTTTTCATCTTGGAATTTGTTTCCCAGTTTATTCACCTAAAACAATAACTGTTTTAAAAGATTTATTATGCATGCAAGAGTTGGGGTGTAGACCAGAATTGTGGGGTTAGGGGTGAGAGGATTCACCAGACACAGAGTGGGGAGCAGAATAGGCGGGGTCTACTGAAATACACTGCTGAGGGGAGCAGCAGAGAGACAGGAGAGGTCTGCTGTTAACTCCATGGCTGGGGATCGAACTCATGCTGCAGTGGCTGTGGGTAACTTCATAGTGCTGAGTCTTCACCCCTTGGTCCACCAGGGAGGTCCTAAAACAATAACTTCTTAAGGAAAGAACGTTTCTCCGCCTATTGAAATAACTGATTTATTAAGAGATTGACTAAGTAATTTATGTACTATATATTGCCTTTGATTTTTAAGGTGAAAAGTAGAGCTGATCTCAAAATGAGCTTTTAATATGTGGATCTTCTTACAATGGCCTAAGGTTTGCTGCTTTGATATGACAAACTGGGGAAGAATTTGTGACCCACCTCTACTATTTGATGTTATCCAGGTGTGCTGATGTATTCTAGGACTAAAATTAAAATGTACCATATTTAAGATTCAACAAGCGTGAATTTGGGGATGGACAGATGGGAATGTAATCATTGCCATTCGGGGAGACTGAGAGGGCCTGAGCCTTCACAGGAGGCAATTGCTGCATTAATTCATTAATGTATTGATTCATTCATGGAATATGTTAGGAATGTTCTAAATGTTTTATTCTCTTAGTGCTATCACACTTGTGAAGAAAAGATTCTTCCCCTGTATTCTCAGATAGAGTACAGACTTGTAAATGGCACTTTTAATATCGGGTAACAAGTACTGTAATGTGGAAATAGAATGTTACCTCAGCCAGATAGAGGTGGAATAATACAGGCAAAATGAATAACAAATGCAAAGGCCCAAGCTTCAGAGAGAGGAAAACATGGTGTTGTGAAGTGTCTTGAAGGGAGGTCATGTTAATAGTTTAAACTTGATCCTGAGGGCTACAGCAAGAACTGGAAGATATTAAATAGGAAGTGATATGATCAGATTTGCTTTTCAGAAACAGCAGTGTGAAACTCTTACAGATCATGGCTCAGAGGGCACAATCTATGGCAGATCCTGTTTCTGGAAAACTTGATACCATCAAGTCTCTGTAAACCTTAAACCTTCATTTTTCAGTGTCCTGTGGAGATTTAATAGAAAGTTCTGACTCTAGCACATTTTATTTGTAGGATGCAAAATAATATCAAGAAACTAACCAATAAAACACATAAACATCAAATTATTGGGGTGTTCATTACAGTTTCTAAAATATACCAGTGATATAATTTGTGGCATGATTAAATGTAACTTCTCAGGTCATATAGCTCTTTGACTAGATTTTCAGAAAATAATTATGCTCAGGGCATGGGGAATTAGTGAGCAGTGGTTTTATCCTCTTTTTTACATCAGTATTTTCATATAATTTTGGTCTATGTCTTCAAAGATGAATAACTGGGTAATATTCCAAGCTAGTAAAATGTTTTAATGTTCTAGAAAATGGCATTTCCTTTAAATATTGAAGAAGGAAAAAAGCTATATACTGTCTAGAACTTCATTTCCATAAGCTTCAGTAAATATCTTAGAATCTTACATGTTTTGGGATTGTTATTAACCCTGATGAAGGTTCACTTAACCTTAGGCAGTAGGAAATCTTATAACTTCTGTTATCAGGAATAATCAGAATGGTTGTCTTTCTTACAGCTGAATGCTAAGGAACTCATCCAGACTTACCTTGTTAAGATCAGGTAGTAATAATCTTATCACAAACATTTAGTTTTCAGATATTTGATCTCCTTGGGTCTCATTCTCCTGATTGGTTGCTTTTAATAAAAAGGCTTTTTAGGTTCTAACTGTTCCGATAATGCTAAGTGAGCAGATGGAGGCTGGACAAGTGTAAGATACAAAGAAATGTTAGCTTTATAAAACTGACATATGAATCAAATGATGTAGGCTTTCCAAGAAGTAGAATCTTACGAAGTATCAATTAAGAAATTATTGAGCTAGAAAACTCTGGAAAAAAATAGGTTTTCTCAGTATCGGCAATACAATGTTACTATGTATAGTAATATAAAATATTATTATGCACTTGTGAGAGATAGAAAATGGCCTGATGAAAATCACTAAAGCAAAATAACATAGAATGATCTGTACTGGGAAAATATAAGTATTTCCTAGGTTGGTCATATTTTGAAACATTAAGTTAATTGAATGAACATTTAAGTTGGTTGAATTTCTACTATTTGAAACAATATTAATACGGTGTATTAATTACTATTACATTCCATGAGTTTATTATTCCTGGTTAAATATTTACTGGATAATTAAAATTCATGGAAAAAATGGAATCCTTTTTAATAGCATGTTGGTATAGCATTACTATAAAACCATTATTCCCATGTTTGATTACCAATGCTTTATTGTAGCCTTCTTAATTGTACACACTCCCTGAGGTACTGTCATTCAGTTTGTTTGCCTTTATTTCTGTGCTATCTACAAAAGAATATTCTTTGTCATATACCTGTGACCTAACTTATTATCCTTCACTTCAAACTTGTTCGTTCAACTGTTGCAAGAGACTCATATTCTATTTCTCAGGGAGACAGAATGAATATTCAAAACTTAAAGAACAACTCCCTTAAATCTACATCTATTTCTGTCACCTTCTTTTTTTACTCAGTGAAGCCATAACCTCAGATCTGACAATGAAGGAGATATATGACAGAAGTATCTATACATTTTTTATTACCAAATGATGTTTATAACAAATATCATCTACTTCACTCCACCCTTAAAAACATACCTGAATTTTGAGATTTTCATATTTTTACTTCCTATGCTTGAATTTTTATTAGAATGAAATATTATATAGATTGGAAAATTTTTCTAGGCTATTTTTTTAACAAGCAGGTAAATATATTAGTAATGTTTATATGCTTAGTGCTGGTATCACTTACATCACTATTAATAGAATTTATT